GACACCTATCCGGTGGATTAGTGGTTAGAGCGTCCGCCTCGGGTGCTGGAGGTCCCTGGTTCGAACCCAGACCGAGTCATACCAAAGACTTCTAAAAATGGCACTAACCGTTGCATCGCTTGGCGTTCATCATTAAGAGGTTAGTGTTAAGACTGGTTGGTCTGGTTGTCAGGATAATGTGGATGCGTGGGACATGATGCTACATGTCTGCCGCATAATGCCCCACTTTTTTTACGTCACTGTGAACTGCCACACTACACTACACAAACACACACACACACACACATGTCCATCGAGATCTTTCAAAACAGCTTTTTAGTTACCTTTGTTTCACCTACTCGTTATAAACAGACACACGGTATAAAGAATATATGAAAACTTTGTTTGAAAAATATTTACTAAATAGAACATTTTCCTGTAAGATTTATAACAATATAAATTATGGGTATTCAGTAGGAAGCTGACAGCTTGTTAAACACTGCCCCCCCCCCCGTGCCATTAGAGACGTCTCCTCTTTTACCGAGACATGTTAAGAATCAGCATTGTCTTTTGACTTCAAGTAGATAAGTTATCTACAAGTATAAATATGTACAAGATCTGTTCTTGAATATTAATTATTTCATATAATAGTTAGAAAATATGGAATATTATGTGTGGTTATGACCTGTGAATTAGTTCGAAAACAGTTTTAATAATTTTATGAACATTTGTAAGTTTGTTCTCGTATATAATTTACTTTCATTTGAAATGTAAAATCTATATATAAATTCTCCCTCGTTATAATGCTCTTCATTATAACACGCCATAAAAGTCATCAAAATTACTTCTTTCCTCTCCTAATGAATATTAGGGTGAAGTAACTATGTTGTTTATGGAAGCCGTAATGGTGGACCGCCATATTGGTGCTATCGCGTTATATAGAGGTATTCTGTTCTTAATTTTACCTTTATTTACTTGATGCGAGGAAGAACACGTGACAGTACTCCTACGCCGTCATTCAGTGCAGAGTGCACTCAATAAACAATAAATAAATCAGGTAATGATGGATGGAGAAGCCCTTACCTGTTTTATTAGCAACATGCGTCCCAAATAAAGTTGTACGGTTCAAACGGATTTGTGATGGCTGGGATTACCTGGATCTGTCAGCAAATGTGCTCATATCAGATTGGCGAATTAGTGTTAATTACTTCTGTAAAGTAAACTGACCTTAAATTTGTAAACCTACCATACACCCTGCACAAAAATCAATCCTTGACAGTTTAGACTTGTATATACTGCTTCAAATTGAAACCATACAATATCAAAACTGAAGCAAAACTTTAATTTTTAAAATAGAAAAATTACCATACAGACACGGCGACATATAAACCATTAAGTTTATTTGTAGCACTTATTCGGAGTTTCTTTCTGGCTTTGTGAATACCAATACATGAGAGGAGAATATTGGTATATAAAGTCTGATATAGACTCGGGTCATTATTATTACTTCGAATGTAGTCCCAATCTAATTTTTATATATTTTTTCCTGAATATTCTTAGTGGTGATCTTTGGATTAAGTAGTATCATTATAAGAATTTGAGATTATCCATCACCTAAAATTCTTCCATATGCCCTTTGACGTTTTACCACTGGGGATTTTTACACACACGTGCATCCGCGATTGTGACCCACGTGGACACGTTTGCCAGATGACTTTGTACCCGGTGTGGTCTATGGTTTTCCATTTTAGCATCGCCATCGCCGTTTTGAACTCAGTCATGAAAATCGTTTTATTTTTTCAGGCCACCGAGTACACCTTAGGCTTTGTACTAAGACTAATATGGGCGACGCCAACGTAAACGCAAAGAAATGATTTTGCCTGAAACGCATGCGTTACTGGTTACTATTGAAATGACCCAATATTAACTCCGATTGGTGTAACTATGTTTGATCAGTAGTAATTCCAGCAACATCAAGACCTATTGCTCTGGCTGCATCCACGACAGCACACGCGCGGTTATATTTCGTGAATAAAAGGGGGTTTCTTTGGCGATTTAATATCGCTTCTATGTTCTGTTTCGATTACCTTCACGCCTCGGTAGTTTTGATGGCAAATCGATGTTCTTCAATAAATAATGTGGTCGACTAGTGTAATCCATAGTTCCAACCCTCAATCAAAAAGAGGCATCGAGTTCACTGCGTAGTTTGCTCGCAAACAAAATACCATGATTGATTACTTTCTAATTAAATTTGCGAAGGATTTTGAAATTTATACAGAAAATCACTGAAAATTTGTCAGAAAAATAATACGCTGTTGTGCTTGGATCGTATCCAATGCAGAATTGTTATCCTAAACTGATTTTAGGGGGAATTTGAGGAAGTTTTCCCAAACCAAAATCCCAACATAGAAAAATGTCTGCGCTGGATCAATTCACGCTGGCGACCACACAGTAAGTTAATGCTGACAATATTAACAATAAGACAAAGTTCTTTAATCGAAGGTAAGTTTAAAGAATAAATTATGGCATGAAAATATTTCGATTAAAGTTAATGTGCAAAGTAAAATATTCTATCGATCTACGGCGAAATCACGAACTGACAATGCTATAATGTACAGGCGTTTGCCACGATTTAACTCTTTTTAAATAAATATTATTATTATTCATTCTGTTATATATTCAGTTTTTGTGGGGGTTTTTTTATAGTTTTTTTTAATAATGAAGTGGTTTAAATAACATTGGAAATAACCATTTTTATTTCATAGATTTATCCGCATAAATGTGCACCGATTTAATGTCAAAGCAAGTTCTGATTTTTAAACAGTTCCGACGATGTTGTTCTGCCTAATTTGGCAAAAATGTTTTAAAAAATGTAATTGTGCCACAACATATTTTGTGAAACTTTTATATTTTCCATAGGACATATTGTAATTTTTTTATTGTGATGTGTTGAAGAAGTTCAGCATAAACGTGTCATGGGCAATGCTCTTGTTTGTTTGGGGTTTCTTTTCTTGTTTTTCTAGGGTGTACAACAATTACTTGGCGGTAATTATACTTTTAAACAATAATATGTTGTGTATAATCATTTCTGTATGGTCTAGCACTGGTTGTATTTTTGCTCACCAAGGCAAACGCCATTGTTGTGGAACACCTTTTCAACTCTGCTGCTCAGGCACCTACTTAAAATTTAGGAGTTTGAAACCTCTTAGTTACTTGATTAGTGTGTGAACAGTGTTTATTTTTATCCTGCTGAGATTTCAAATTGGACGGCTTTTTAAGAAATGCAGGGAACTAAGTTTGGCACACAGTGTGTCCCAATTTACGTTTGATCTTTGCCGGGCCTGTAAAGTCATGATCCTTTGACCTTTAAGTCACCAATATATTGCAAATGACGGAGTAAATACTGACAGGCCTTTAATGAGAGAATGGAACCATGAATCGTCTCATTACACTTTGTTTGCTGGGACACGTGTAAGGAATGCAGATACAATTAAATGTGGAACAGAAATATTTGCAAGGGACACAGAGAATATTTTACACGCATACTTCGTAAAACAAATGTAGATATAGCATTTAAGAATAACGATATTACTTTTCCTGCAGCAGTATAAATTCATAAATATTTTAATTATCATCACACTGAAACACATAAATTAAAGAACTTTTACTTAGAAATAATTCTAGAATTATTTAAAATATCTTGATATATTTCTCTTTGAAGAGTAATTTGACAATTTTCCTTAAGTCAATATCCTGTCCACATAATTATCCTTCCTCACACTGAATAGGTATGATCTGAACTATGCATTCCTTTAGAACCTGTGATTTGGGGTTCAACTGTCCCTTGGTGTGATCTTTGTTCAAATGTTCATAAATCTTATTTCCCTGCTGAATAACTTTACATTGTCACAATATCTGATCTCTTTCACTGATACATTGTCACAATATCTGATCTCTTTCAATGATACATGGTCACAATATCTGATCTCTTTCAATGATACATTGTCACAATATCTGATCTCTTTCAATGATAAATTTTCGCAATATATGATCTCTTTCAATGATACATTTTAAATCCAGCTTCCCTATCCATTTAATATAGTGCATGTTTTGTACTATATGAACTTTCCACACCAGAATCCTCTCATTATGTAATAGCTGATAGTTTTAGGGTTGTTATTCAATCTGTGAAAGGTCGACGAAGCTCTGCAACTATCTTCCTAGTTTTACGACTCTATGGGTCTTAAACCAAATAACAGAAGAGACAAGTTTAGTAAAGTTCAACAAATATTTGATCTCTCTACAATACGAATTGAAAATTTAAAAAGAACTTACATCATTGTTAAATAAATCCCAGATAGTCCTAAACGTCATAAGTAAGAAATTGTATGGTATTCCGAATGAATTTCAATCTTGTTTCGAATGAATTCCAATATTGGAAATTACGGATGTACCAATAGCAATGAATAGGGTTGATGTGCTAACAGTCTTTATATGTCACAATGATACAACACAAACTATCTTCAAATGAATCGACAATAATCTTAAAATAGTGATTTAGTCCCAAAGTATTGTTGTGCACTTTGCAATTCCAGTGAATCATTTAAAAAGATAAATCCTCTCAAATATTAACTTAACACGTCTAAAAGATTGATTCCACTTTGGATGCTAAGATATGAAGGAAGACTTTCTATTTACATCTCCTTTATATTAAAAGTAAGACACAATATCAGAACCAGGATGAGGGTAGTTTTCTCATCGGATTCATAAACAAGCTAATAGCAATTTTTACTTCCTGGTCTCAAAGGTAAATTGTAAATGAACAAGACTATAACATATGTTACTTTGTACATATTTTGTAATTCCTTCATTTCACTTTCAGAAGCTTATTCTTCTTAATCTAACCTATTTTAATCACTGCTAAAGTTAGTGTACTTCAGTTTGATTTTACCAGCACATGAGCATCTGATTTGGTCATGTACATTTTCTGTTAGTACAATATATGCAGAAATTTTAGCCTCATTACATGAAAGTGTCATAGAGGCATGCTGACCGCTCCGGTGGCCAAGTGGTTAGAGTCCACCTCAGATGCGGGAGGTC